AAAAAAAAAAAAAAAAAAAAAAAAAACTTCCTTTTGTTTTCGATTGTTGGTTCATTTCACACACTTCCGTAGTCAAATTAAATATCTTTTCCTCTAAACCTTTTACGAATTGAAATAGTTGATTAGATGGGTTATATTCTTATCAAACAATACTCAAACCTTAATCTCTCGAATCATTGAATATATTAATATAGTCAAGTATTATCTATCACTTGATGTTGACTGTGATGTACAATGTTTTGAACTTGATATGATTTTGTTGGAGATATTATCAAATAATGTTTGAAGTAGTGAAGGTTGGTAAGTGGGTGGTGGATATAGCAAGCAATGGATATGCAATTTGCATACGAAATTAAGGAGCCAAACCCATCGATCTCAGAGGAAAAAAAAAAAAAACAACAAAACAGAACAAAAAATCTCCATCTTTATTCTCCTTAATGTCTCTTCAATTCACAGTTCTAATCATATTGTTAAAACATAATTAAATATGAATTCCTTTGACCCATAAGAACAAAATTCCAAGGCTAATTTAACCTTTATCCCTAGACTTTGATGATGTTCAGGTGGAATACAAAGTGTATTTTTTAAGTCTCTCTTAAAAACCCTTTTTATTGGGACTTCAAACTTAGAGCTTTAATATATGACATGTTGAATGATTCCTCGTGAGGGCCAAACCAATATCTAAAGTAGTCCTAAATTGAAAGGAAAGAAGCTCTAAAACTTACATAATCCTTCATTTTGTTTGGTCCCCTTGGATAATACCATCTGGGTTTTTTTTAATGTTAGACGAACACGACTCTCCACAATGGTATGATATGGTCCACTTTGAGCATATGCTCTCATGGCTTTGCTTTGGGATTCCCCAAAAGGCCTCACACCAATAGAGAGAGTATTTTTTGTTTATAAACCCATGATCATTCTCTAAATTAGCCGATGTGGGACTTTCATCATCCAACATTTCATATATAGTATTTCCCGGCATGGAATAACACTCCCATTATAAAAAGATTCAATTTTTAGTTGTGGGTATTGATAATTTCTTGTGGAGAAGGAATTGTTGGAGCTCTAAAATGACAAAGCTAAGGCAAACAAGAGTAGAAGTAGAAAAACATTTGTTTAACAAACAAAAAGAAACAAAAAACAAAGACATGGAAGGAGTTGTTGCATGTCGTGAAACATAACCCAGAAAACCAGAAACCCAACTGTGTTGTCTTTTACTCTTCAACCGTACTATAAAACTAGGGTTTCCTGGATTCCCTTGCTTTCACAATATCATAATCAAAGTGTATTTGTATGAGTCTATGAATACGATCACTCCCACTAAGGAACACACAATCCTCCATCAGTTTTTTGAAAAATAACCTACACAAATCCTTTTGTCATTTCTCCACTAAAAACCTCACTTTTCCATCAACTCATTATAATACCCATTTCATATCTCCACTTGGATCATCGACTTCTACATATTTTCCATTATTTTGGTGTTGTCTACCGACGGTTGGGAGAGAGTTCTACATTGGCTAATTTAGGGAATGATTATGAGTTTGAATAATACATCTCTATTGGCACGAAGTCTTTTGAGAAAGCACAAAGTGAAGCCATGAGAGTTTATGCTGAAAGGGGATGATTTCTAACCAATTGTGACTTTTGAAAAGGTTCATAACTAGTTCATAACGGTTTTAAAAAAGAACTGAAACCCATAAATAAAGGTATAGTCTTTATAAGCCTAACCTATGTTGATAATTTCGGAATTGGAATATAAATAATGATGAATTTGTTGAGGAAGGTGGGAGAATTATGCGAATTATTTAGGTTGAAACTAGGTCAATAGAATAAGAAGAATGGAGTGAGTGGTATATGCATATAAGCCTTTCCAAAGTGTAAGCTTAAAATGACATCCACTTAGGTTCATAAATAAAGACTTGAAAAGGTAGAATAAGATGCTTAATGCATGTGCCTTACACACTGTTCTTGCTTATTAATAATGCTTTTTATTAACTAAATTTTTGCAATAATTAAAAAAATATATATATCCAAAAAGAGAAGATTGTGGAAACCAACTAAGATGAGAAACTTTTGATTTTTCCCCTCTTATCAATTTGTGTGTGGAAATATTTCTCTTTATATAAAAAAAAAATTATAAAGAGATAAAAAAAAAATCTTGTTGGTAGGATTTCCACCACAAGAGCTAGCTAGCTAGCTAAGGGGTTAATAAAAGAAATTATATGGGATTTTAGGGGCTTTTTTGAAAACAAGAAAAGGACAAGCCAACAAATTATTCAATGAAAAGAAAAATAAATAAATGAGGGTTTGAAAATATATTTATAAAAAAAAAAAAAAAAAAAAAAGTTTCTGAGTGCTGACAAATTGATCATAATGAGTTGGTAATAATGTGGTTATGCTTTGGGGCATTTGCCATCTCACCCTCCTTTGTATTATATTGAAATATGACACAAAAAAGAAGAAGAACCATTTTTTAATATTAATTTCAGATTCTTTTGTTTTTGGGAAACTTGTTATCTACTAATGATGGACTAGGAAAGCCTAAAGAATACAATATCCGTTAGTGATAGGCTAGAAAAGCCTAAAAAACACAATATATGCTAGCGGTGGGGTATTAAATTTTGAAAGGAATCATAAAACCCGAAAAGAGTTTGGTCTCTGATTTCTCATTCATAATCATAAGGCTCCAGTGTAATTAAGCATGAAAGAGTGTAACCTAAGTTACTGAATTCCTGAAATCATGTCTGAAAGTCACCATAAGAAACCCTTTTTCATAAACGAATAATGAAGGTTATGTAGCATTAGTAGAGATTAAGATTGTTTAAAATGATTCCAATCTGTAATGCACATGCCATGCCACTGAGAGAGAGCCCTTAAAGCCAAGGGTACTTTGAGACTTCAAATGGAACCAAGCCACACTGTATAACTCAAAGGGAAGACACAATTTTGACCTATTTGTTCCGTGAGTGAGAGAGATAGAAGGGGCAGTTGGTACGGTACAGGGCGTTGGATGATGAAAGTCACACATCGGCTAAAAATACGTGTGTAACCATATTATTTGTTCCCCCTTGTTGTCACCTGCCTTACAAAACTACCCTACAACTACACCATTCTTCTATATTCAACAACCAAGTTGATTGAGCTGAAAATTTGTAAGGCGGGTCGAGATTTGAAATAGATAAAAGGGTTATAAACCCTAAACCCTAAACTCGAAAAGACACACATATATCTCCTTTTGACCTCTCTCACTCTAATATTTTATTTAATTGGAAAAAAACAATAACGAAGACATCCAAATCCAAACAAAATAATTGAAGAAATTGAACTTTTATTTTATTTTTAAAGAAAGAAAAAGAGATGAGGGAGACCCATCAACTGGTAGAGTCAGCAGTAAAGAAGGGAGAGTCAGCAGTAACTTTCTACCCAAATTATTTACCGCTTTCTAGATTTGAACAAAAAGAAAAGTTAGTGTTCCACGCCAACTAAGAAATTAACTCCCCCACTTTAACATTCTCTTCTAATCTTACCTTTTTGCCCAGGGAATCTCTCATCTCTGTTATTGAACAAAAAGTGAGTGGTTGGCATCATCGTGACCGTACAACTCTGATTGACCATCAATTCTGTTTTCTCTTCACAACCCAAACACAGCAAGAGAATTAAGAGGGTTGCTTGCGTTGTTTGAATTCATAAACAAAGCCAACAATTCCCTGTCATTACGCTTTACTTCTTTTTTTTATTAATGTTTTTCCAGTTTTCTGACATTTCCCTCCAATCCTTTCACTTTTCAACTTTCTTTTTCTCTTTATTTCTAAAGCCTTTTGAGTCTGTTATTCTTTCCCGTATACCCACATGCCTTGGATCTCCCCTCTCTCTCTCTCTCTCTCTGTGGGTGTGTGTGTGTGTGTGTGGTGGAAAAGCTGTTTAGTTTCATAAATTCCTCCAACTTTAGGCTTCAAAACCCCAGATTTCGGAATTTAATAACCCCTTCCCTCTTATAACTCTGTTCTAGATTCTTATCAATGTGTTATCATTTCAGATGTAGTATAATTACCCGTAGTGGATATACTTGATTGGCTACCAGTGGATATACTTTTTGGAAGAGGAATCTCACTTTCAGCTTCTTAAAGGAAAAATCACGTGTTTATAAGTAAGGAATACTATCTTCGTTGATATGAAATCTTTGTGAGCGTGGAATCGAAACATTACGTATGAGGGTGTGATACAAAGAGAAACGAAAAGTAAAGTCACAGGGAAAAACAAAAAAAAGAAAAGGGTCATTTGAGTTGTATAGCAGCCCTCCCACAAATATTTATTCTAAAATAAATGCATAGAGCTAACAACTTGAATGTGAAAATGAATAAGCAGAAGAGAAAGTGAATGAAGAATTGAAATGGTTTTTGATTTGAGTATGAGGTTGAGTTATGAATGATGAGGCCTCCTTTCCCAAGACAATACTTTAATAATGAGGCATTCAAACAAACAAGACATGGAGGATAAGAAGGGAACCTTTTATTTCTTCTTCTTCTTCTGACAAAAATAACATAGTCAATGAGCATACGGCATCAGATTTTGAAACTATGCTTCGGTTTTTCTGCAGTCAACCTTCAAACCTGCAAAAATAAATATTCAAACACCGGAAGCCTTGTGCTCTTATTGTTCTTCATTATTACTATTATTTTAATCTTTTTTTTTTACCATGTTTTATGGAGGACTTTGGATTAAATATATGACACCATAGGGATTCTAAAATCATCCAATTTCTTCATTATTCCAAGGAGACAGCAGGGGTTGGGTAATTTATGTCCTGTATTTTTTTCAACCTTTCACATTCTATTCTCCTAAACAGTTTATAGCTTTAAAATTTTTAATAACAAGATTTGGTTAGATTCCTATGTTTTAAAATATTGTGTTTCTACCCTTTCTTAAATTTTAGATTAAATTATAAGCCTGGGTTCTTATAATTTTCAAAATAAAACATTTAAATTTATCAAAACTATATCTAATAATTTGAAGAGTTCGAAAACAATAAATAAATAAGTTTCTATAGGGTCCGTCTAAAATTTCCTCCAATTTTTATAAACTCACAAATACTTAATTGATGAAATAAATGAAGAAAAAATGGTAAACATTTATGGAGTAAATTATTGTTTTAAAAAAGAAAAAGTGCAAAAAAAAAATATAGAGATTAAAATTTAAAAAAAAAAATGCTAGTGGTGGCAATATCTGCTAGTAGTGGCAAGCAGAAGTTAAACCGTTCTCCAAGCCCCCAATTTCATAGTTTAAAAAGTTGTTTCTCTTTAACCCTCATAACGTTAATCAATTTATGACCGTTGAAATCCAAATTTGCATTTTATTGAAAAGAAATTGTACCTGCCTGCTGGTCGGGTGTGGTTTGTTCATAGGGACTTTTTTCCAAGTGAATGATATGATTAGATTAGGCTGAAAACAAATGATAAATGGAGATGAGTGAGAATATATAGTAAATTACAAAACAAGAACAATTATAAGGTTTTGAGACGACAATGACTAAAGCAATGATTTTTGGTATTGGGATTAAATTAAAGGGATGGTGGGGTATTTTCCTACTTTGAATATGTTCTTCTAAAACAAATCAAAATAATAATAATAATAATAAATCCTTTTCTTTTTTCTTTCTCACTCCGGGACTCCCTCCTCTAACATGCGTCACTTTCTGTGATTTTTACGGAACAAGCAAAGTGGGAACAATTGGAAACCCAATCTGACTGTAAAAACACCCACACCCACACCCACACCACTATTTGTCTCTCTCTTTCACAACACTTCCATTCAATAAGAACAGCAACAACTAGAGCCAACACAACTGAGAGAGTAAAAAGAGGAGAAGAACAAACAACAAATCACCACCAAATGTAGCAGCAAAAGTAAAGAGAAGAAGTTATTATGAGGTAAAAAGAAAGGGGAAATTTTGTTCATAAACCCAGGAATTTCGCCAATGTCACAACATTCTGAGGAGATTAAGACGACTGAGAAGTGGAAATGGTCCGAAATGCAAGGCCTTGAGCTCCTCTCTTCTGATCCTCCTCCTCCTCCTCCTCCCAAACCATCACCCCCAACACCGAAACACACAGACCCCGAAGACCTCAGCTTCAAACAGGAGGAGGCTGAACACGGAATTGGCAGACCCATAAACGGAGAAATGGAATCTTCAACTGATTCCAAGAAGGAAAACGGTGGTGGCACCAGTGGGGAGAAACCTGAAGCCGTCACTTCCCTTGGGTTTGGGGAGCTTTTCAGATTCGCCGATGGGTTAGATTACGTTTTGATGGCAATTGGGTCGGTCGGAGCCCTTGTCCACGGTTGTTCTTTGCCTCTGTTTCTCCGTTTCTTCGCTGATCTTGTTAACTCTTTTGGGTCTTACGCCAATGATGTGGATAAAATGATGCAGGAGGTTTTGAAGGTAAAGTTGAACTGTAACTCAAAACACAATCCAAGTGTTTTATGTTGATAATAATCTAAATAAAAGCTGAGAAACTGAGACCTTTCTATTTTCAGTACGCATTTTACTTCCTCGTGGTTGGAGCTGCGATATGGGCGTCGTCCTGGGCAGGTACTCAGAATTTCCATTAGCTTCTCTGGGGTTTTCTTTCCCATTCATATGTGATTCTAAGTGAAACCGGTTGCAGAGATTTCGTGTTGGATGTGGACCGGCGAGCGGCAGTCCACAAAGATGAGGATCAAGTACCTAGAAGCCGCACTGGACCAAGACATTCAGTATTTTGATACAGAGGTGCGAACATCTGACGTCGTTTTCGCCATCAACACGGATGCAGTGATGGTCCAAGACGCCATTAGCGAGAAGGTAAAGAAACCAGCCCTGTTTTCAGTAATCTCTCTGTTTGAAACCCCCACCTTTTACCCGCCTAATTGATGTAAATGAATGGACTTTGCAGCTGGGCAACTTCATCCACTATATGGCAACATTTGTGTCCGGATTCGTTGTGGGTTTCACTGCTGTGTGGCAATTGGCGTTGGTAACTCTTGCGGTGGTTCCTTTGATTGCCGTAATCGGCGGCATCTACACCACCACAATAGCCAAGCTCTCTGCCAAGTCCCAGGAAGCTCTTTCAGAGGCTGGAAATATCGTCGAACAGGTAAGGGGCATACTTTGCAGCACTTGGTGGTTCTCTAAAGATTTTTGCATCTTCACTCATCTGGGTACCGTCAACTCTTGACGTAACATACAGACAATAGTTCAAATCCGAGTTGTTTTGGGGTTCGTGGGCGAATCAAGAGCGTTGCAGAGATACTCCTCCGCGTTGAAGATTTCTCAAAAGATAGGTTACAAGACTGGATTCTCCAAGGGTATGGGATTGGGCGCCACTTATTTTGTTGTTTTCTGCTGTTACGCTCTTCTGCTCTGGTACGGAGGTTATCTCGTCAGACACCACGCCACCAATGGCGGTCTGGCCATAGCCACTATGTTTGCCGTGATGATTGGCGGACTGTAAGTATCCACCACCATCTCGGGTTTCATCTTGAAACCTCCAATTTTTGGCTGACGGATCGCTTTGCTTTGACAGGGCATTGGGACAATCTGCTCCGAGCATGAGTTCGTTCGCAAAGGCTAGAGTTGCAGCTGCCAAAATCTATCGTATAATCGATCACAAGCCCACTCTAAACAGCAACAACGAATCTGGTTTGGAATTAGAGTCAGTTTCAGGACTGGTTGAGCTGAAGAATGTGGATTTCTCATACCCATCAAGGCCAGATGTAAGAATCCTGAACAACTTCTCTCTAACTGTCCCTGCCGGAAAAACGATAGCTCTGGTCGGTAGCAGCGGCTCGGGCAAGAGCACCGTCATCTCCCTAATTGAAAGATTCTATGACCCCATTTCAGGTAAATGTCACGATCTGTTTGCACTTTTAAAATGATTAAACGCATTGGTTTTGGTTTTGCAGTCATTCTTGAAATTTACGTTTCCGGACTTGAAAAGTTCCTTCTGGACTGAATGTGCAGGAGAAGTTTTACTAGATGGGCGTGACATAAAAACTTTGAAGCTGAGATGGCTAAGGCAGCAGATAGGACTGGTGAGCCAAGAACCTGCACTTTTTGCCACCACCATCAAGGAGAATATTCTCTTGGGCAGACCTGATGCAGACCAAGTTGAGGTGGAGGAAGCTGCTCGAGTGGCCAATGCTCATTCATTCATTATCAAACTTCCTGAAGGCTATGACACCCAGGTTAGATATCATCTCAAAACTGTGTGTTAAAACATGACACTCTTAATCACCTTCCATTGGCTTACAATGACAAATGTTACTGATAATGGAGCAAAAGAAACTTGATTCTATTTTTCTGAAGGGTAAAGGTCTATATATATATATATATATAGTGATCTAACTAAGATATATGTGTGATAATTTACATATAATCTTTCTTACACCTATTTTGAATAGCAAAATGGAACATTTTATTGCTTTTAACAAGGTTAAACCGACTCTTTTTTGGTGCAAGTGAGGAGAAATGTTTTGGTCCTACAAACCATGGAAACAGGATAACATGCTTGGTCAACAATGCATGTGCAGAAATAAATAGGTTTTTAACTTGTCTGCTCTGACAAACGAGAACCAAATAAACTAAAGGGAGGGACATATCAAGCATATGGGTATGCAGATGGAATAGAAAATAGTCGATGCTGACATCTATGTAAAATTATCTATACGTTATTGATCTTCAACCTTCCAAGGAAAAAGGTGCTATTGACATTAGCATGCTATACAAGAAATAATGATGACATGAAGATGATGGGTTTCAAAGATATTGAAAGAGTAGGAATCAGAGGGGTTAATGATTTCTTGAGCCACAAAACTTGTGTGGATTATTATAATAAAACTTTGATAAAAAACAGAAATGTTCTTATCTAATTTGTAACTTCGAGCTAACACAGAGAACTTTTAGATTATTTGTTACCTGCAACTTGCACAAGCTCTTGACACGAATCTACGTATCTATGCTTTACATTTACCGTATTATCAAAGATACTAAAAAATCACTATTTGGTCACCTGTTGATAGAATGACTAGAGAATTATTCTGCATCATGTGGCGGAAAAAGACGCTTCCAAACAACTTTACTCGTATAAGATACTGAATTTATAATCTAGTTTTGATAGAAGAATGAATCATTATGAATCAGAATCCTGAGGTTTGAAGTAGAAAGTTTATGGTTGGTAGGTAGGGGAAAGAGGACTGCAGCTTTCTGGAGGGCAGAAGCAGAGGATTGCAATAGCAAGGGCAATGCTGAAAAACCCTGCGATCCTACTCTTAGACGAGGCTACTAGTGCATTGGATTCTGAGTCAGAAAAGCTTGTACAGGAGGCTCTTGATCGTTTTATGATCGGGCGGACGACTCTTCTTATTGCCCATCGGCTCTCTACCATTCGTAAGGCTGACCTTGTGGCTGTAATCCAACAGGGAAGTGTTTCTGAAATTGGAACACATGACGAGCTCATTGCCAAAGGAGAGAATGGTGTATACGCCAAGCTTATCCGGATGCAGGAGATGGCACATGAAACTGCTCTCAATAATGCCAGAAAGAGTAGTGCAAGGTAGCTATAGAAATATATTCGATTTCTCCTTTTTGAATCTGCTCTCAATAACTTGTCTAACTAGCATGGACTATGATTTTTTAGGGCTTCAAGTGCCAGGAACTCAGTGAGTTCCCCAATCATTGCACGGAATTCTTCCTATGGACGATCGCCTTATTCACGTCGGTTATCTGACTTTTCCACATCTGATTTTAGTCTTTCTCTGGATTCTTCACTTCCCAATTACAGGCTTGAAAAACTTGCCTTTAAGGAGCAAGCCAGTTCCTTCTGGCGTCTTGTGAAAATGAATTCACCCGAATGGCTTTATGCATTACTTGGTTCTGTTGGTTCTGTTGTCTGTGGGTTTCTAAGCGCCTTCTTTGCATATGTTCTAAGTGCTGTTCTCAGTGTCTACTACAACCCAGACCATGCTTTCATGAGCAGAGAAATTATTAAGTACTGCTACTTATTAATCGGACTTTCGTCAGCTGCTCTTCTCTTCAATACAATACAGCATTTCTTCTGGGATATTGTCGGAGAGAACCTCACCAAACGTGTAAGAGAAAAGATGCTGACAGCAGTACTGAAAAATGAAATGGCATGGTTTGATCAGGAAGAAAATGAAAGTGCAAAAATTGCTGCTAGGCTGGCCCTTGACGCTAACAACGTTAGATCAGCTATTGGAGACAGGATTTCTGTGATTGTACAGAACACGTCACTCATGCTAGTTGCATGCACAGCTGGGTTCGTTTTGCAGTGGCGCCTATCTCTTGTCCTTGTAGCCGTCTTCCCCGTGGTCGTTGCGGCCACTGTTCTACAGAAAATGTTCATGACTGGTTTTTCAGGAGACCTTGAGGCTAACCATGCCAAGGCCACACAACTAGCAGGGGAAGCCATAGCCAATGTAAGGACAGTTGCTGCATTCAATTCAGAGGAAAAGATTGTCAGACTTTTCTCAACCAACCTCGAGATCCCACTACGCCGCTGCTTTTGGAAGGGACAGATTGCTGGCAGCGGCTTTGGCGTTGCTCAGTTCTCTCTTTACGCTTCCTATGCTCTTGGTCTTTGGTATGCCTCATGGCTTGTAAAGCATGGGCTCTCTGATTTTTCGAAGG